TGTTATTCTAGCATATTTGTATCCTGCTTTTTCTCCAGGGATTGTAGGGTTATTCCCATCCTTGCAACAACGCTGTGGGGTAGGTGAGCTCAGGCCCAAGGTCACACTCGCCAAGCCTGCTTGGATTTCTCCCCAAGCATCAGAGTCCCCTGTTCATTTCTTGCAGCCTGACCGCGTGCCATCCGGGCTTTTTCTTGGAAGCAAAGAGTTCACTCTCTCCAGAGCCCCAGGACAGAAATGGGAACTTAGCTCTGTACACTAATCCAGTCGCCTTTCCCAGAAGGAAGCGACTAGGGGCAGGGCTGGAGAGTGACGCATTCTGAGTTTTTTCACGGGACCAAATTTGGAGACTGAGCTGCGCTCCCTGGGGAACTTGAAAGCAAAACTCCGAATGCTGAACCTCCCTATGCCCGTCGCCTAAGCACTAGCATCTGTTGTTTTCGAGGGTTATTTCTCTTGTTCCAAAACCTCGGTTGCGTTGTCGTGTCTGCAAAACAAAAGAAAAGCTCAGCTGGATCATCCAGCATCCTGTTTTCAGCCAGATGCTTCCCAGATGCCCACGGGCAGGGCAGGAGGCAACAGCCAACCCTGGTGTACGTTCCCTAGAATCATGTGGTCTGAGATACGCTGCGCTCAGCGGAGAGGTTCCATTGAGCTAACAAAGCCAGTAGCCATCGAGAGATCCTTCTTCCTTTGTGAATTTGCCTGATCCTCTTCATCAAACGACCTCTCTTTCTGGATGAGACCCCATGGGTCCATTCTAGTCCCGCCTATGGCTTCCAAAAGCCACCAGCCAGATGCCCGAGCGGGAGGTCCACAAAAAGGGCTTGATGGCAACTCCCCACCAATGTTCCCTCTAAGCTGAGTTAGTGTGAGCTAGCTCACACTAACTCAGCTTAGAGGGAACACTGCTCCCCACCCCCTTTTGTCCATCTTATCACCAATTATTCAAAGGTGTGCTGCCTCTGTACGTGGGGGCACCATTCAGATAGTGTTGCTAATAACCCTGCCTGCCATGAATTCCTGGCCCTAGCTGCATCTAGTAGCAGTGAGTTCCGTAAGTCAACTGTACTTAAAACCTGTGATCTTCTTTTCTGTACCCTCATTGAATGTTATCTAGGGTTGAAATAGTTTTTGTATCGCTATTTACTGCCGAACACTGTTGTAACAGTATTGGGAAAATATATTGGGAAAGTTAAAATATATATATTTTAAAGCTGTGCTTGATATGAAGAAGGACTTCTTTTGGTCTGTCCTGAATTTGCTGACCATGCCCATCAGCTTCATAGGATGACCCAGAGAGAGAGAAAGTTACCTCTGTCTCCCTGTGGATTTCCCCCCCTGGCTTCCCAGGTGTGCATGGGTACATCATGCGTATTACCCTGCGCAGGAACGGGCTTCTTGGATTGGCTCTGGCAGCTTGTTCTCTTTCTTGTTGAGTTTTGAAATCTGAAACTTTCTTAGGCTACCGATTACAAATGTCTGGTTCATTTGGCACACATTTACCAGCATGGGATTTATTCTTTCCTTACTTCATTTATACCTTGCTTTTCTCCCCGTTGGGGCCCCAAAGCAATTTACATTGTTGTTTTCCCCCCCATTTTATCCTCACAATAACCCTGCGAGGTAGGTTAGGTTGAGAATGTGTGTATGACTGGCCCAGTGCCACTCATCAGGGTTCCATGGCAGAGTGGGGATTCAAACCTTGTTCTTTTAGGTCCTAATCCAACAGTCTAACCACTGCGCCCCACTAGCTCTTGATATGAAATCATTCTCCATGTACTACAACAGGATTTGGCTGGTAGATTCAAATAAATAGATAGCATTCCACTCCTTCCTTCTCACTTGGTGAGTCCTTGCTCACTGGGTGACTCTTTTGTAGGACTGTAGTGAGCCCTATGTAAAAGCTGCCAACTTCTATTTACGAACCTTGCTTCTGTGTCTTTAATGTAGGGTTGCAGAATTCCTTGAGATTAAGGTGTGGAGCCTGGGGAGGGGAGGGTTTGGAACGGGGAGAGACCTCCTAACGGCATACAGTCCACTCTTCAAAGCAGTCATTTTCACAAAGGTCTGGAGATCATCTGTAACTTTGGGAGATCTCTAGACAATTCCACTTTAACACCAGCTTTGCACGGAGAAATTTAGCTGCTGAGTCCCCTTCCCTTGTTGCCATCTCAGTACCTGGAAAAGATGATCCTACAAAATGTATTTATTAATTATGCTGTTATTCATCAAAATATGTTATTTGCCTCTTTGGGGTTCAAGTACCCCCTTCTCAGGGCAGCTCACACATCATAACAAGGTTGCAGTTGTGCAATTGAAAATATGTCATTTAAAAATACACACCTGTCTAGAGAAGCAACAGATAGACACCACCCAGCAGTCCAAAACACAGGAAAACAACATGAAAGATAATCATTTGGAACCAGCAAAGAGAGAGTCAGGCAACACAAAACAGACCTCCCAAAACCAACCGTTCAAACTCTAAATTAATTAATCCAGAAACTAAAAGTTTTGCACGGTGGTTAAAAGCACCATTTGCAGGGTGTTGTTCGAAGGTTTTCACGGCTGGAGTTCATTAGCTGTTGTAGATTTTCCAGGTTGTATGGCCATGGTCTTGGCCATACAAGACCACAGCCATAAAACCTGGAAAATCTACAACAGCTAATCTGCATGGTGGTTAAAAGAAATGATGGAGCTGCGGTGGCTCAAGTGGTTAAGACGCTGAACTGCAGGCGGTGGAAGGTCGGTAGTTCAGCAGTTCGAGACCCGGGTGCCGCATGACGGAGTGAGCTCCCGTCTCTAGTTCCAGCTCCTGCCAACCTAGCAGTTCGAAAGCAAGAAATTGCAAGTAGATAAATAGGGACCACTTCGGTGGGAAGGTAACAGCATTCCGTGCGCCTTGGTGTTTAGTCGTGCCGGCCACATGACCATGGAAACGTCTTCGGACAGCGCTGGCTCTTCGGCTTTGAAACGGAGATGAGCACCGCAACCCTAGAGTCGGATTCGACCTTTTAAAAGAAATGAAGTGGGACCGGGAGGAGGGTAACAACCCCACTGCTAGTAGGTTTGAAACTGTGTTTCATGGTTCTGTCTTTCAGAGCTGGCAAACAGGCAGACGTTCAGGAGGTTCAGCTTCCATGGCATGGAGAAAGGAGAGGCAAAAGAGAAAGGTGTCTTTCCTCTGGGGCCCCATCCAGGCTGCCGAGCCATAGTACAAAGCAGGCTGCGGGGCAAAGGTGAAAAAACGAAGCTCAAATAAATAGCCCTGTGCAGCTCAGCATTTTGCAAGAGAGGTTTCTGCACATGTTGTTTTGAATTGTATCGGGCTTTGCACCGTGAGACCCAAGTTTCCTTCACAAGCCTTGAATTTCTCCACTGAAACTAATCAAGTTTGGACAGCTCTGAATGGGAAGAATTAACCGGTTTTCATGTGAGTGGGATTTTTCTTTCCTACTGTTCGACTGTATTCTTTTTGCCTGTGCCTTCCTCCTAGGCTTGCCAGTCTCCAGGAGGTACCTGGGGATCTCCGCCTATTAGAGTTTTTAGTGTTGCAAGGTCCCCCCTGGCCACCAGGGTAGGATGAGGGGTAGGGTTGCCAGATCCAGGTTGGGAAACTCCTGGAGATTTGTGGAGGTTAGGAACCTCAGTGGAGTAAAATAGAGTCCACCCTCCAGAGCATCCATTTAGTCCATGGATGAAGCTGTAATTTCAGGGGATTCCCCAGGGCCCACCTGGAGGCTGGCATCCCTGTCAGACCTGCAGGCGACCAAGATCAGTTCCCCTGGAGAAAACGGCTACTTTGTAGGGTAAACTCTATGGCATGATACCCTGTTGGGGTTCCTCCCCACCCCACCCCAGGCTCCAACCCCAAAATCTCTGGGTACTTCCAGACCCAGAGCTGGCAACCAGTGTTCCCTGTAAGCTGTGGAGTCTTGTGAGCAAAAATTCTACTTTGTGAGCTACTTGGCATTAAAGGTGTGAGCGGGCGATTCGGCTACTGCATCAATTAGTCTGCTCTGACGCCATCCTTCCTGAGCTGAGACAAAAATGTGTGAGCCAGAGGCTAAAAAACTGTGAGCTAGCTCGCACTAACTCAGCTTAGAGGGAACACTGCTCTCAACTTACACAATCCCCTTCTTTTCCCCAGCCCTCCAAATAACCAACTTGCCAGTTTGCTCTCTCTCTTTAGAGGTCCGGATTCATTCCTTACTCTCGTTTCAGGCCGTCAGTTCATCGTAGGTCTGCAGCCAAACTTCACTCCTTCCTGCTTCGGGCTCTCTTTCCGCCACCTCCCTCTCTTAAGATTCTGCCCCCCCCCCCCCCCACCCCCATGAGAATTTATTTATAGCCTGTCCTTGCATGCACGTGTTTGGCACGAGGCCTGGAAAACGACTCTGGGCATCCAGGGGTTAATGCGAATCTCCTTTTCTTTCTCCCCCCCCCAAAAAAAATCTGGATGATATTTTTAAAAAGAAAAGGGGGGAAATAAGTCTGCAAGGGGACTTATTCCTCACATCCCCCCCCCGCTCCCCTTTGAAAAGAAGGGGGGGGAGAAGAGGAGCAGAGGAAGGATGTGTATGTATGTGTGTGTGTGTGTGTTGGGTGACTATTTTTAACCCTAGAAGTGGTGCGTGCATGAGTGGTGGTGAAGGGTTAACGCGAAAGCCGTTTCTGCCCACACCTTTTTCCGTATGAATATTAATATCTCCAGTTGCTGGAGGCTGGAACTGAGGATTTTTTGGGGAACACGGCGCACGACATTGAAGGAGCGGAGTGGATACAGGGCAGCAGAGAGGGGGTGGGGGATCACCCCCCCCTGAAGCTCTTGCTACTACCCCACCCGGTCCCGCCACCCTTGGGACGCCATCCAAGCTTCTGGGACAGGCTCCAGAACAGCTGAGGGACGAGCATGCCGGAGTTTCCACAGCGGGGAGCTGGCTGCAGACGGCTGGGTGCGGACGCCGGGGTCTGATCACAGAGGCGAAGCTCCCAGCTGGCGATCCCTCCTGGGTCCAAAGCCTTCGGGGGCAGGAGAAGCCCTGCCGGAGCACCTAGAGATGCCGGGGGTGAACTTCGCGGGCCCCTTTGATGCTGGGCTTTGGAGAAGAGGCACGGAACGCAATCTGGGGCATGACCCCATAACCTCTGGTGCCCTGAGCGTCTGGTGAGTATCTTTATGCACTGGCCACGGGAGTGTAAAGCTCCATCCAGCATTACAGACGGGAAAACGTAGGCTCAGGGACTGGAGTGATGGGGGGCTAGAGGCAGAGGAGTGGGACATTTTTTTTATTTATGGGGGTCTTTACCAGCCTCTCCAGTGTGTACCCCCCGCTTGTCCCAAGAGTTCTCATCGTGGCTTTTTGCCTTTTAACCGCTGGCTGCTCTCTGGCTTTCTGGGAGTAAGGACCCAGGAGCCCTGGCGGAGGCTCGTCTCCAACATTGCTTGTGGGAGAATGC